TGGCAATGCCTCCCCGTTTCCTCTCTCATAATACAGTCTCTTCACGTTGTTTACACGAAATAGAGTTACAAAGCTTAAGTCTAAGAGAAGGAAGTTGTCTACATAATGTACACCTTAAGACCAACTATAGCAAAACAGAGGTAATCATCTTTATAGAAATTCTTAAAAGATCAAACTAAAAGGGCTTCATTTTTCTAAATCAATTTGGGCTATTATTAGAATTGTTACACTGTTTTTCCAATTTCCTTTTTTTTTTTCCACCTGTAACTGAATAAGTGATTATGAGGCTAATAACGGGGGAAAAAAGATGTTTCCACATTAAAACAGTTAACAGATGTTAAATAAGCACAGAAAATGGCCACTAGGCAAGCAACGACTGATGTTTGGTAAGTAAGAAAAATGTTGCTTTTGCTGATTTTATTACCCACGTACCTCCCCGGGGTCATGGGAGACTTGTAAAAAATTTTGTGGGCAGATAAAAGTCAAGCATTTATTTGCAAGGCTAGTTTAAGTGTGTTTCAAGGGTTCTTCACCAACCCCTTTACTTTTTGACCACATAAAACTAAGTGAAAGTCATCTAAGAAAGGCTAAAACAATCGTTTGAGGCGAAGTCAAGAAAACTTATTTTTCAACATTTTTCTGACATGCGTTTCTTCCAATTCTACCCTCCAGACCTCACCAACCAGGAAACAAATCCTCATCGTATAAAGGGAAGAAGATAGGATTTTACTTTAACATTTCAGGCACGTATCTTTCCAAGGCAAATCTGAAACAAGTGTGAATTCAACAATTCCCTGAGCACCTACTATGTGCCAGATGGTATACTAGATGCCAAGGATAACATGGAATGCTGACGCTAAGAACTAGGAACATTAAAGAATCTTGTTGAAGATAGTTATGAACACTCATTTTGTCCATGCACATTTCTGAAGATTTTATATTTGGTGTTTTCTTATAAATCTCCCTAACTACTGACAACTGCATTACTGTACTATTTCATGTCATATTAACCATACTATTTGCTAAGTCATTCTCTCTCAATAAGCACTTATTATTAAGTTAAACACGTCTGTGTTTTTAGCACATTCAGAATAGTGCCTAGCACATAAAGACTATGTGTTTATTAAATACTTATCTACAATACATCAGGTCCTTACTATTTTTCACTTTCTTCAAAGAAACAAAAAACTTTCCTATTTCCTTTGCAGAACCGCGAAAGCCTTTTATATAATATGGACGTGTACATCACCTGCATGAATCTTAGAAGTCAAAAAAATGACAGCCAAGAATTCTGGCCAAATTCAGCCATCCCAAGGACTCAGTCTGGCCCAAACAGGGTTTGTTTCTTTTTTCTTTTTTTTTTTTCAGGGTTTGTTTCTAAAGTAGTAACCAATATTAAATAACAATAAATGTCATCGAAAAATCCAGAGGTCTTTTCTTCTTAGAAAAATCTCCAACTCTCCCAAACTCAAACCTGGATTTTCCTATTGCAACAACAGAATGAAGAGAAATCCTAGAGGTGGGCATACTCTTGCTTCCACCAGCAGGACCCTTCTACCTGACCCCTGTCCACAGTTGAGTTTGGGGGCCAGGATCTTTTAAGAGGTACAGAACTGAAACCAACACTGAAGAAAGCAGCTGAGTGTGATTGCTATGAGAAAAACCATTACTAACAAAACTATCAAAAAGGGGAGCCTTGCCCCTCTGGTCCTAATAATTTCCAGCTTTAAGAGGACCACCATTTTGGGTTTTGAGTTCTTGGCTAGTTCACTGGTTTGCATAACAGAGTTAAACATTTGTGCACTGGAGTTTTCTGTTTTAGTATATAAAAGTTATGTTTTAATAGGCCAGGGAAGTTTATTTCATCTGGCAAACCATGATGTAGAGTTAATTGGTAAGATATTTAAGATGATTTATTCTCTTAAGGTTGAAAAGGACCTTCTAAAGTCTTTTAATTCACTTCCTACAGAGTCTCTTCTAACTCACCCCAGGCATAAAAATCTATATATTATAAAGACAGAAGATGGAATTTTCTATAACTTCCATATGTAATCTATGCCAGTGTTTACAAGCCCCATAGTCATAAAATTCTAAATGAAAGTTTTTGCTTAAATATTCATGCTTCAGTTGACTAAAACTAAAATTCCTAATTCATATGCTTTCAAAATCACACTATGTTTAAAGACTAACATAAGTTTATCTGTTGGCCTTCCCTTCCTTAAAATAAAGAATTACAATTTCCACTGATATTTCTTTCTATTCAACTAATATGTATCAAGTGTCTTCTGCACACTGGGCACCCAGCTCACACTGGACGCCCCAGCTCACACTGGACGCCCCACAATTTCATATAATCTTCACAACATCTCTAAGAGAGAAAGACTAACCATTTCCAGAAAAAGAAACAAGTCACTGACCTAGCCCAAGGCTACTCAGTCAGTGTGAGTTAATATTTGATTCCATACTATTTCCTTCTAAGTAAGTCATCTCACTTTACATCTATTCAATCACCGTCATACCTCCAGATAGTAAAATCAACACCAAACACACACAGATATGTGTTCTAGTTCTAGTGATCCTATCATTTTCTGGGCGACCTTCACCATCTCTGGTTCTCCACACCTTAGCTGGAAATTAAGGGACTGGCATAGATGGTCTCTATGGCCCCAAAGGGACTGGCATAGATGGTCTCTATGGCCCCGTGCAAATCTATACATTCTTTTACCAAAAGGTTCTCATTAAAGCTCATTGGCCCAAAATCTGAGAATGAAAGAAAGAGTGGACTTGAGATAGCAACTCTCAGATGAAGGGTTTCGCTGCCCTGACTACTTCCCCTGCCCATAAGCAGTGGCTGCCAGACAGTCTAGGCAACTTTCCATCTGGAAACTTCTCAGGACACTGAATCTTCAAAGTGTTAAGTCCTTTCCCATGGCACGGACTTCACACTCTCCACTGCTAGGAGTTCCGTTGCTGGTGACATTTCTCATTTTCTTAAGCAGGATGCTGAGTTACATTTTAATTCCAAATAAACAAAGAATACTTTCTTATTAGGGGTATGTCCCAAAGATTGTATGGGACACAGTTATAATAAGGTTCTCTCTTAGCAACTCCGTCCTTGAAAATACACCTAAGTGTATTTAGCTCCCGAAGGAACTAAACATTTCTTAGAAAGGAACTTCGGAAGGTCCCAAAAGCAAGTCTGGAATTGATCTATCGAAATCATTTCCTTATTCATGAGACAGTAAAATGGAAATTCTGTAGGATATCCAACCACATAGTTTATCAATGCACGGTCTTGAAACACCGAGCATCTGCAACCTCAAGCAGGTCTCTCTCCCCACAGGACAAGGACCATGATTTATGTGTATTCCTATCTATTATTTCCAGTAAAACAAGAAACCTTGCTATTGTTGTTGATACAGTTTTAAAACAAAAGATCAAAGATTTCTCTCCCTAAATCTCCCTGAAAGAATAATTAAAATTGATTTGAAATTAAGAGTTTGGCTTTCAAACCATGTTGTTTTTAGGCATCTAACTCGACCTAACCAGTTTTCTTTTTCTTTTTCTTTTTTTTAAGATTTTATTTATTTGACAGAGTGTGAGCACAAGCAGGGGGAGCAGCAGGCAGAGGGAGAATGAGAAGCAGGCTCCCCACTGAATAGGGAGCCTGATGTGGGACTTGATTCCAGGACCCAAGCCAAAGGCAGACACTAAACCGACCCACCCAGGCGCCCCCTAGAGTTCTCCTTTAAAGTTTCAGCATAAAAAATAAAGTTTGAGCATATAACTGAAATCACAGCACTTTGAGCACTAGATACTTGAGTTCTGACTCAAAAGGCTATCCTTTCTTGGAGAACAGAAGCATAGCAGTGATTATCCTGCCAACTAAGTGAAAAAAAGAAAAAAAAAACAGTCATTTAAAAATAATAATAATAATAATAATAATAAGCATGTCTATTTCCCTCCATTTTTTCTTTACTTCAATTTCTTCCCAATTTGATTTTAAATAAAATTGAGAAGTGAGGGCAGGGGTGGGCAGGGAGAGAAAAGCCCAAGCTAGAAAAATTGATGGCATTTCTGATCAGGTTAACTATCCAAAACCATTAATTCCTCACTTAAAGTGTCCAAAAGGAAGGAGAAACTGTCCTGCAACATGACCAAGATTTGCAACACTGGTGGAGTTCCCCCCTTAGACTAAAGGCAAAGCATGGGGTGGGGGGGTTATTATGAATGAGAGAGAGTGGGGAAAACAGGAAGGAGGGGGTTTCTCAACATACCTTTGTCTGCCCAACACCCTCCCCGAACACACTAGCCAAAAAACTGGTGCTCTTCAGGTCTATGGGATCTAAAAGCGCTTCTGTGACCTTCAAACAACATTGCATTTGAAACTACTCAGGGGATACCGAAGAGGAAATATTAAGCCCTGAGGCAAAGGTCTTAATTGGCCTCAGGGCAAAACTTATAATAACCTCTTTCTGTTTTGACTCTTCTATTCTTATTCACTACAAGGAAAAGGTGAAGATGATTCATTGTTGAGGAATCCCAGTCCCCAGTCCACTGCAGAGAAGGGTTGCTTTCCAAAGTCAGATCAGGAAAAGCACTATTCACAAGGGCAGAGGATTTCCCCTCCATAGAGTCACGCATCTGGCTCTATTATCCGCTCTGACATTTTTGCAAATAAACTTTATAGGCGATTTGCCGGATTACAGAGCGTTTGGGCCGAAATAACGAATAAAAAAAATAACCAATAAAGGTGCAAAAACTGTCCTTTTCCCCCCTTTGAAAGCATGAAAATAAGGTAAGAAACCCAAGAAATAAAACAATCGGTTTGTGAGTAGGGAAAGGTCAGGAGGGACGCTTTGCCTTATGGAAGATCAAAATGGAACTTCTTCTTGATTTCTCTTTGAAGAGGAACACGTTTGCTTTTTTAAATGGGGCAGAAGGAGCAGGCCGGGAGGCTGCTCGGTAAAGCCGGTACCCACGTGCCAAGAGTCACTTACTTTGCAGATGGCAGGTAAGATCTGCTTCACTTTCAGCCTGTGAAAGACAAAGACATCATAAACTGCGGACACGGCCAGCACGGTCACCCCCTGCTCCTTCCACAGCATGCTGCATCCTGCGCAGAGGCCCGTCCCCAGGAACCAGCCCCACGTCCTGGCCGAGGAGCCTCTGGTAGAGCAGTGCTTAATGTAGCAGAGCAAGGACAGGAGGAAGAAGAGGCTGGCCCCGACGTCGGCCCGGCCCACGATTCCTGCCACGGCCTCCGTGTGGATGGGGTGAGAGGCGAACAGCAGGCCAGCCATGAAGGTCCAACATCCGTCCCCAAGGAGTGTCTTCGAGAAGCTTGTGAAGACCCCGGTGACGGCTGCGTGCAGCAGGACGTTGACCAGGTGGTAGCTCCAGGGATCCAGGCCCCCAACGGCATGGTTCAGGCGGAAAGAAAGCGTGCAGAGCGGCCGGTAGGACTTGTGGCTGCCACTGTGAGTTAGAAGAGTCCCCCAGAAATCATTGTAGAAAATGTGCGTCCACGGAGTTTCTGGGAGAAGGTCCTGGTTCGTCTTGATAGCACGGCTAAAAAACAAAATGTTTTTTTTAAGAAAAAAAAAACAAAAACAAAATCGAACATAAACTACAGAAAGAAAACAAAAAAGAAAATATAAATAGTTGACCCCTGACCTACCTGGGGGTTAGGGGTGTCGACCCTCATGCAGTTGGAAATCCAAATATAACTGGACTCCCCAAAAGCCTAACAGTCTATGGTTCACAGAAGGCTCACCAACAACATGAATGGTAGATTAATGCATATTTTACTTGTTGTGTTGTATACCACATTCTTAGCATAAGGTAAGCTAGAGCAATGTTAAGAAAAATCACAAGGAAGAGAAAATGCCTTTATAGCGCCGTTATTTGTTGAAAAAAAAAAAAAACCTATGTATAAGTGGACCCATGCAATTCAAACCTGTGTTGTTCAAGGGTCAACTGGACATGACATTGCTAAGACACTGCCTTTCCGGAAGCCGTTGTCCTGTGTATGATGGGATTCCAGGTTAATGCAAATGCGCCTTATGGAAGGCTTTCCATACAGATTGAATTCCAATCCTCCCCCTAATGCTTACTAACACTACAATGAGGGCTGTATTTCTTCTCAAAATCTGTTTGTTTGAATGCAAATGCATTTGAAGAATAACGCAGTTTCTTTCAGACTTACTGCAGCAATTGTCAAACAACTGCCCTAAAAATCATGTGCTACACCAGCTAAAAATGCAGATGACAGGCAGCAGGTTGATGTGAGTTCTGAGAATCTGCATTTTCTAAAAGGCACAGCCCAAGTGATACTATTGATCACGTGGTGCAAGAGATCTGCTTAGAGGCAGCATGAGCTCCCTCCTAGAAATGAACTTTGGATAGACTATCTGGGCCCAGAGCAAAGCTTCCCATACATATAAATCACTGGGGGTGGGGATTGTTAACAGGCGGGTGCTGTCAGTAGGTCTGGGGAGGAGCCAGAGATACCACAACTCTAACAAGCTCCCAGGTGATGCTGATGCTACTGGTCCTTGGGCCACACTCTGCATAGCAAGGAAGAGCTGGAGAGGCCAGAAAGAATGTCTCTCCCCCGATCCAAATGTTTCCCTTTCCCCTTCATTCTAGAAAACTTCAGCCGTTCCCTCCCTGAATTCTTACAGGATTTACAATCATCTCTACCAAGTGCCTTGTGCCCTGCTCTTGAGAATTAGTAGTTCCAAAATGAAAAAAAAAAAAAAAAAAGAAAAGAATTAGTAGTTCCAGGTTTGCATGTCTGGTATCTTCAAACAGACTTCAAGGAAGAATAACCTAGCATTTGCTGAGAGCTTGCTTTCTACCAAGGACTGTAATAGTCTCCTTAGCTTTATCTTCTTTAATCCTTAAATGACAAAGTAGATATTATCTACATCTCTCAAGTGAGCAAATTATGGTTGAGAACCAATAATGATTTCCAAAATCACACAGTTGGCAATAGCAGGGTACAGTCCCCTGGCTCGTGCTATTTCCACTCTGTTGGGATTCCCAAAATGTGATCTACAAAGCACTGCAAGTGTATGAGAAGATACACAGGCAAACCTTGTAAAAATGTTCATGGTTATATTTATTTTAATGCATATTTGAAAGGAAATTTAATTATCAAATCAAAGCTGGATTTCATAGATTTTTGCTCAGAATGAAGCTGTTAAAAATTAAAAAGTCAATGTAGAGACAAATATTAAGGAATCAACAGGGCTAGGATATGTGGACAAGGCACAAATGTTGGCATGGAATCATTCAGCATGACGGGTCCCTGCTCTCTGCCATTAAACCTTCCAGAGAACAGGGTGACATCTTGACTATTTTGTTCCCTTAGGCCATCTCTGTATTTACAGAACACATATGTCAGAAGGACAGAGAAATGGCATAGTCAAGACACCTACTCCATAAAGGGAAACCTCTTGCCTACTCTGATATCAGGGCTTTGGAAGGGGTGTGGGCATCTGTGTAGCTCGAGAGTATATGACAAAAAGCTGTTTGATGACTTTTACCTCTAGCTGCTCCACTAGTTTAGCCTTTGACTGTGAGACAGGTATGGTTAAGGAAATTTCGATCTGAATATGACCAAAATCCAGGATAGAAAAGCCCTGGACTGAGAGGACACATGCCTGAATCACAGCTCTGTAATTTACCTGAGTGTCTTCCAAAATAAGAAAATGCAACAGATTAAGAAACCTATCCAAGGTGACACAGTCAGTAGAAATAATAGTATTCCAGTTGGATAAAGTGATGGGGCAATGCTGGTTTCCATCTGCTTCTCTAAATTGCTTCCCAATTAGCCTCTCTGAGCTTCGGTTTCTATGAGGATAATAGTTGTTTTCTTTTTTCAAAGATTGATTTTATTTATTTGAGAGAGAGAGCATGCGCTCACATGCACACAAGTAGGAGGAGGGGTAGAGGTACAAGGAGGAGGAGAGGGAGACTCCCCACTGAGTGGGGAGCCCTATGTGGGGCTCAATCCCAGGACCCCAGGATCCTGATCTGAGCCAAAATCAGACAGTTCACCGAGTCACCCAGGCACCCCTGTGACAATAATTTTACCTTGAAAGCTGTTAACAAACACTTGTAATTGTTCATTTATCTTCTTTGTAGTAAAGCAAAGAACGCTGTCTTGCCAATACAAGAGTGTTCTGGAGACCTAGTACAAATGACATCTAAGCTCTGTGAGCTGCTGTTGTTATTATTCAAAAAGACTGGGGTACAGTGTTCAAAAACTCTCTTATTAAAATCACCTTGATGGGGCAGCTTGGGTGGCTCAGTGGTTTAGCGCTGCCTTCAGCCCAGGGCATGATCCTGAAGACCCGGGATCAAGTCCCACGTCAGACTCCCTGCATGGAGCCTGCTTCTTTCTCTCTCTCTTTCTCTCTCTCTCTCTCTCTCTGTTTCTCTCATGAATAAATAAATAAGATCTTTAAAAAAATAAAATAAAATCACCTTGACTCACGGTCTCTGAAATTCGATGCAATTAGAGGTCAGAAATTAAAACCTATCAACAGCAGTTGATGACTCCCTTTTTTTTGAGCCAAACACCACGCTAGGCCTTCTACATAAATTATCTATTCGTGAGAACTAGTTGACTCTTCTAGATGCTCAATAAAAAGGCTGAAGTTCTATTAAAATCGTGTCTTAAAAAATATTCAACATGAAAAAAAAAAAAAAGTTCAACATGGCAGAGATAGCTGTTCCCCTCTGTCTGTTCTCCCCTTTCCCAGAATCACAGATCTTTACTTTTCAGCTGGGTATGAGGTCACCTGGAAAAAAAAGGCTTCATTTCCTATCTTCCCTTGCTGCTAAATACAGTCTCGTGACTAATTTTTGACCAGTGGAACATAAGCAGAATGCTATGTACTACTTCTAGAAAGTGTCCTTTAAAAAAAAAAAAAAAAGCAAGCTTAGCATTCTTCTCTCCCTCCATGACTCTCCCTCGTTCTTGCTGAAGCACAGATGTAACAGCTGGAGTTCCAGCAGCCATGTTGGCCCGTAAGGAATCCTTAGGAATGGAAGTCACACCCAGCAGATAACAGCAGTAAGACTGAAGAAAATTGGGTCCCTATTACGGTAGACCGTACCAGCCCTAAGCTAACCTCCTGATTTTGTATGAGAAATAAATCACTATTTTGTTTAAACTGTTGGATTTTGGGTGTCAGGTAATAGCAGCTGAACCTAGTCATCAGTGAAATCCTCTGTTAACAGAAGACCCACTATATCACCGTGGTTTGATTTTCCATATTTATTTTTATTTTTACAAGTCTCCGTGTATCGACTGTGTATTAAATGAATTTCCATATAAATTGGCTTTTAAAATATTAGAAACAGATGTTACTCTGGATCCATTAAATTAAAACACCCTGCTTTGACATTCATCAAGAGTCTAACCCAGAAGTAACTGCTTAAGACTTGATGGGTTATAATTAAAATTTAAAAGAAATATGAAAAACTGCCAAACAGTGTTGTAAGAAAGAGCTGATTTCAAGCAATTCAGAATGAAAAGCCAACTGGCCTCTACTAACCATTAACCGTGATAGTGATGTGAATTTCTCTAATATCAATGCAGAAATGCACACACTGTCATCGTCGGGGCAGTAGAAAGCTCAATAGAGAAGCATTTTGGGAGAAGACTCTGCTAACACAACGAGGAAGGCTGGGGAGCGTATTTTGTTCAGGACCATACCTCACCCTTTCACTGGCAGATCCAGAGAGGATAGAGAAGGCATGTTCCCCAAACCAGAATTTCTACATGCTATTAGTTCAGCATCCTAATCGACTCTGCAAAGACTTTCTCAGGAAAAAAGCACGCCTACTCTTAAAAAGCTATACAAAGTCGCCTGAACTTCTTATATTTATGGCAATGAATCTAGTAATCTGCAGCAGCCAGCAAGCTATACTATACATCTCACTGTCACAAAACAAGGGCTTCAAAACAAAGAATTAACAAATCTCATAATTACACCAGGAGAGAAAACTTCGATGAGCCGCAGCCCTAAATTTATACCGTCGAAAAACAACTTAGAGGGCAGTTTACTGGAACAAAAGTGGAAGAGCAAAGGAACATCTTACCCATGTGCAAAACACATTACACTAAGGGAGACTTTAGCATGAGAAAATTCTGATGGGTGTTATCTGCTTAGGCAGGTTTTTATTTAACCGATGAATATTATGGCAAAAGAACATGAAATAAGACGAAATTGTGCTGGGCTTTAGTATATAAGTCATGTCACACATGCAAGTCAGTGATAAGGGATGCATTACGCATCCCTCACATCATATTATGAAAAATACGAGCCAAGAGGGCTTTAATAGAATCTAAATAATCTGCCGGCAAAATGAGAAGGTAGCCATTCAACACCGAGCATAACAGATTTTCCACCATTTGCATTTTCTTACAAGAGTCCAAAATGGAAAGAGTAAAACCTCTTCTGCTATTTCTCAGCTAATGAAAAACCTCAACTCCAAACAAAACTTCAGGCTGATATAATTCCTTAGGTTACTGCTTGTGAATCGGTGTTGAA